AAGGGGCTGGAAATAATGCCCCCCTTTGACGGCCCCTCTCTGCCGGGTTTGGAGGCAAGCCCAGGATGGGCCCGGTGGGGATATATGTGGAGCTCTGGCTCTCCTGGCCACTGGCCTCACTGTTCAGTAAGAGGATTATGAACCGCTGCAGGGAGTGGCCTGGGGGGGGGAATGGGGGCTGTCTTCAGACCCAAAACCGGCCTTGCTTTGCAAACAATGATCACCTAAGGCAGCCCCCTCAGGGTCCGCGTGGGCGGACAAGGAATCCCTCAGCCTTTTGCCAAGGTGGTCTGGCTTATCTGTTCCCACAGAGCTGTTTATTGTCACCTGAGTCTGTGTCCTCGACAGCCTGGGTGCCCCACAGACATGGAGGGTGGAGCTTGGCCCACTGCTTAGGCACCTGGGGAAGACAAGCCCCGTGAGCCGGCAAACCAGGCCCCAGGTTGTTCCAGCAGCTGCTCTGATCCTAGAGGCAGCCTTAGTCTTTTAGGAAGTCCCAGGTCAGGAGGGGTTGTGCCCAGAAAGTCCAGAGTGGCTTCATTCACAGACAGGGGGGCCCATTTGGGGACGAGGGGCCCAGGATCGGTTACCTCTGATGCAGATGCTCTGGGCTGCGACAGAACGGCGGGACACAGCGACCACAGCTGAATCTCGCAGATGCTAGGGCCGCGGTCCAGGGTCATCCTCGCCTTTACGCAACTGTACTTGATCCAGCATTTGCTAGGTGCTGTTGTGAAATCCTGAGACCACAGTTAGCCTGTGGTATGGCAGAATCCGTGTAATAAAACATTTTACATCTGGGTTTCTAAACGAATTCATGACATTTTTTAAAAAGCAGAATCAATGGGGGTTGTATTGCTGAACTTTGAACTTAAAAGCAGTAAAATATGCTGGTGAGGACATGGGCCCCAAAGCTCAGTTCAAACCCCAGCTCCACCCCCTGCTAGCTGTATGACCTCGGGAAAGTTACTCACCCTCTCTGGGCCTCAGTTCCTCTTCTGTGCAGTGGGGGTCCTAACACTACTCACGGCATACGATTATTGTGAGGGTGATAACAGCACATGAGAAGTGGTTAACCCAGGGCCAGGCCCATCCTGAGTGTTTAATAAATGCCCACTATTAGGATTAATAATATGAATCACCCAAGTGTTTCCTAATTGAACCAATATTTTTCCAGGAAAATAGTGAACCAGTTTGAACCCTAACAGAAATCTCATGCTGTCTAAAATGGTCAAGAAACAGCCCCAAGGCCCTGGATGCCCAGCACTGAGCGCTCTACAGCCCTTTATTCTACACACACTCCTGCTATTATCCTCACTTTGCAAATGAGAAAACAAAGGTTCAGAGAGGCTTGGTAATTTGTCCAAGGTCACACAGCAAGGGCTTGTCAGTATGACCTCATCTGTTATTAGGAAGTGGAGCAGAATTTGATCATGAAAATGCTTTCCCATCCACGTGGAAATGTCACNAAGGTTCAGAGAGGCTTGGTAATTTGTCCAAGGTCACACAGCAAGGGCTTGTCAGTATGACCTCATCTGTTATTAGGAAGTGGAGCAGAATTTGATCATGAAAATGCTTTCCCATCCATGTGGAAATGTCACTGGGTGTGACTGGTAATGGATTCATTCATTCATTCATTCATTCATTCATGGGTGTCTGAGTGTGTAAGCCTGGCGAGCACGTTTAAGGTTCCCCCACACCCTCCCTGTCCTTCCCCCTGGGCTTCATGGGCAGAGGGATGTGTGGCCATCCTGTCCCCTGCTCCCCCAGGTCCCCCTCCAGCGTGGATGCCCACCTGCAGTTCTCGGACAGCAACGGCCTCCTGCAGACCCCACGCTGGGACGAGCCACTGAGGGTGCGGGCCCTGGAGCAGATCTGTGGCGTGTTCCGCGTGGACCTGGGACACATGCGCTCCCTGCGGCTTTTCTTCAGGTGAGAGCTTCTCTCTGTGGCAGGTGGGCCTGCAGGTGGTGTCCCTGCAGGCGGGGCTTAGGTCCAGGGCCTGGCATCACTATGTCATCAGCATGGGACCCCACGACAGCTGCCCCACAGGAAGCAGGTAGGGGTAGCTCCCAGGCGCATTCATCTGCCTTCAGGGCGGTGGTGGCCAGCTGTTTCCTGGGACTCCAGTGTAGGGGCTGGGGGACNGGTGGGCCTGCAGGTGGTGTCCCTGCAGGCGGGGCTTAGGTCCAGGGCCTGGCATCACTATGTCATCAGCATGGGACCCCACGACAGCTGCCCCACAGGAAGCAGGTAGGGGTAGCTCCCAGGCGCATTCATCTGCCTTCAGGGCGGTGGTGGCCAGCTGTTTCCTGGGACTCCAGCGTAGGGGTTGGGGGAAAAGCTGAACTGATAGCTGCCGGCTGCTCCCTGTCACCCACCCAACGGTTCTTGGGATGGGACGGGACTTTCTGGAAGGAGAACCCTTTCTTTCATGATGGAAGGACCATCCTTAGTAGCATCCTGCACAAGAGCCACAGCAAACCCTCCTGAAAGGCAGGGTGGCCCAATCACAGGATGGCACCAACCAAAAACACCCATGCTCAGAAGCAGCAGGCATGTCACCCGAGGGGGTCCCCAGACCCAGAGCCACATTCAGCCTTCTCTGGAAGGGCAGCTGGGGTTGGGCTGGTGCCCTGATGGGTGGGTGGCAGTTTCTCAAGAGGATTCCCCAAGAAGGCCACCCATGTGCCTACTGGAGGAAGCCCATGGGAGGAAGCTTTCCAACTGTGGCCCCACCTGGGTTCAGATCTGATTCCACTAACAGTGTCTACCCCCAACTCTCCTGGAGAGAAACTAGATGGCCTGGCAGTTGAGGGTGGGGACAGAAGGCCTCTCTGGCAGGTCCCTGGGGAGCAAATGAGGACAGGCCTACGCCCCTGCCTCCCTAGGAGGGAGCTAGCTATTGCCTTCTTCAGCAAAAAGGGTGCTAGCTTTTGCGGGGATATAACTCTGTCCCCGTGTTGGGCCAGCAGCCAAACTCCGCAGGGACGTCCTGTTTCCTGCCTCAAGGTCAGCAGTAGTGGCCTCCGATTCTACTTGGAAATAAAGCCCTGTGTTCACACTCACCCCTTTTCCTCCCCATCAACGGTGCGCAGCGACGAGGCCTGCACCAGCGGCCAGCTGGTCGTCGCCAGCCGGGAGAGTCAGTACAAGGTCTTCCACTTCCACCACGGCGGCCTGGACAAGCTGGCGGACGTGTTCCAGCGCTGGAAGTACTGCGCCGAGACCGGCCTGCAGGGCCAGGTAGCCGGGCGGAGGCCCCTGGGAGGCCCCTGCCCGCTGAGCTCCTGCCACCCCCACGGGGTCCAGGGTGTCCCCACACATCTCTCCTCCCGCGTGGACTCATGGGCTGTCACCGTGGGCTGTCACCGTGGGCTGTCACCGTGGGCTGTCACCGTGGCTGATCACGGCCTCGTGGGCTGCGACTGTGGCCAATGGGGCAGCAGCTCTGGGTGTGAAGCGAGTGCCCAGGGCTCCTCGTGACGCCGGCGCTCGGCACTCGGAGCCATGTTTTGACAAGGCTCCTGCCATATTTTGCTCCATCTACATATAAATGTAATAAGCGCCCTTTAATTATCTGTTTGAGATACTGTGCGTGCTTATTAGAAACGGGCTGACTTTAAACCCCTCCTTCCCGCCGAGCCTCCTGCTGGCTTCCTTATTACAGTAGCCTGGCTTTTCCCCCTACATTGAACAACCTTTGATTTCTGAATTAAATGTCAGCTGCAGTTTTGCCCTGGATTCGTGACTGCCCGTGGAGACAACCTGACAGGCGGGCTCCCGCTCCGAACAGCGATCCCTTTGTATGTGGCCAATCACATGTAATTTATTGCAGGCCCTTCCGGCAGAGGCCGAGCGAGGCCGGGCCCAATGAGGCATTGATTCCATTTTGCGGC